ATGGAGCAGTTGCCTCCGTGCATGCCCATGGTGTCCGTACGGCATGTATATATATGCATATCAAAGATCAATGAAAGACTACTGGTTCCTTGCCATTACACTGTGTTCCATGTACATCTTACCTAAAACATTCATATCCAAAAACAGTTGTCCACCAAGTCACGTTTAATCAAGAGACCACTTCCATTCAGCTCCTCTTTAATTAAATATTCAATTTGGGTATTGCAAGCATTGATTGGTGCACTTCTATATAAGCGCCTACGTAATCTGAGTATCCTCCCCATATCCCATCCATCTTCTCACCATGTTCCTCCCCTTCCAGGTCTGTCACATCTTCCATAAGGCTGCATTCGGTTGTTAGGGAATGATGATCATGAACTATTTCTACCAAGATTGCTTGTGTAATTTATATAGCTAAACCCTCATCAGGAACTATTCCTACCAGAAATAGCCCTAACTGAACGAATCATAAAGCGAGGCTGCACACACCAGTTATTGTTGCTTCACTGCATGTCTCAATCTGTATTAAAAAAAAAGAAATCATCCGTACCTCCAACTACCTGTATCTGCCCTTGAATCAAGGTATGGAATGGTCACGAGCTTCTTTCTCTCAGTGCCTCTCTAATATATCCACAAGCTCACACTGTTAGTTTTTCTTGCAGTAATTTATAAACAGTGACAGAGAGCAAGCCTTTGTCATATGGCGAACCTCAAAAGTTTTATCCACTACCATCGATGGCTTTTAGCTTGAGCTGTTATATATATGCACATAACATGCCTTCATACAATTGCAGGCATTTGGAATGACCGTTAAAATATGTTCTTTTCATCCGAGAGACATTTGGAATGACTGTAAATCCCGCAACAATGCAAATTATAAGCTTCACTTAAAAGGCACAAAACATAGCCGCCAATTAGGCTACAAATCTCTGCTAATAACTTACGCAATTTTTCTTCCATCTAAAAAAATCACCCATTAAAACGATTTTTCTTCCATCTAAAAAAAAAGTCACCCATTAGAATATGTTCTTTTCATCCAGGAGATATTTGGAATTGACTCTAAATCCCGCAACAATGCAAATTATAATCTTCACTTGAAAGGCACAAAACATAGCCGCCAATATGATTAGGCTACAAATTACTATTACTAAAAAAATCACCCATTAAAATATGTTCTTTTCATCCCGAAGACATTTAGAATTGACAGTAAATCCCACAGCAACGCGCGGGGCATTCCCCATTCCCCTGGTATGTTGTTACATGCTTGTCTAGTTTGTCACTGTAAAAGGCATCAACTGACATTTGAACAACAATGTGTAACACCCTGTGTTTTTCATCATATTAAAATTCACTAAAAATTTGAATTTTTACAACAAATTAAAACTTGGTTTGTTTATTTTCCGCAAAATCGTTTTCGAAAATCTTTTTCAAAAGCTTGCATTAAAAATTCCACCATACGCATTATGAGTGTTCATGTGTTTTGTGTGCTTTTCTAGAATTTATTTGTGGCACCAAAATTCTTTTCGTGAATTCCCAGTCCCATTTTCTTCCTTGAATTCAAATCAAAACCTTTCGTAACCCTCTCCTTGATTTTCTGGGAAAATACAAGAGTCTCTTCATCATAAATACAAAACACGTTAATCCCTTCATCAACAATCTCGGCCTGCTTGGCCCAAGACGCGCAGCACGTCCTCTCCATGGCTGCAGCGTTGTCGTCTTCTTCACGAAGCCTCCTCCACATTCGCTTCTTCCGTTCGCAGCCGCAAAAACACGTGTGCCGCCCGTTGTCCTCTTCCCCGCGATTTCCGTCGCCACGATACCAGGCTCGCAGCTCGCGTACAAGCGCATGGACGAAGCGCCGCCGCCGCCTGCACTGCCATCGGAGCGGACGCTTCGTCCATGCAAGAACGCCAGCCCAACACTGCCTTCGACCCAGCAAGGCCGCGACGCGTGGACGCCGCGTCTGCGTCGTCTTCCTCCTTGCGCACGTGAAGCAAGACCACCGCTTCATCTCTCGTTGCTGTACCCGCTGCCATGTCCCATCGAGCTCACCAGGCGCTAGCTCAAGCACGGCGCGTGCGCCACGAAGACGCTGAGGCACTGCCATGGATACCGGCAAAAATCTTCTTGGCCGGAAAAATCCAAGCACCGCCACCGACTTACTGTGCTCCCTCGAGGGCTATAAAAGCCGGCGAACTCCACCATTGGTGCCCGCTCATCAAGCTCAAGCTCCCTGGATGCCTGGCTTCCAAAGCACGAGCACCCGCAGTGGCTATCGGCAGTGGGTTTCTGGCAGCACCGGCGCCCCTTCAGGTACCACCATCTCGAGCACCACCTACACCCCCTCATCCTATTCAGTAGGGGAACGACCTCTGGCAGTCGAGAAAGAAAGCGCCAAGGGGCTCGACCAAGAACGAGCCATGGAGCTCCCGCAAGAGTTGGCGGAGACTTTGCGCCTGCACATCAGGGGCCTGGTGGAGGAATTCAATGCTTGTGCCGATGGTAACTTCAGTGCCCCGGACAGGTGGCTCTCAGAGCTGCAGGTCGCCTGGCTTTTCCGTCTTGCTGACCTCGATGCATCCGGGCGGAGGATCTTCATCTCGCGGCAGCTACAGCATCTTGTACAGAGTTGGAACTCGGCTCTCCGGGCGATCACCACATCCATCGTCCGGGCATGCTTCAGTGGATTTTCTAGCCAGGACCAGGAGGAAGCTACTGTTGCGCCCCCTGCAGCTCCTGAATTTGTACGATTTGTCGAAACGACGATGTTGAAGATGCTCACCTTCGTTGACGCCATTGCTGCTCCTCTGAATGTCGATGATCCTAGCTGCCAACAGCATACAGTTTCTACCAACAAAGAGGGGGCAGCTGAGAAGCTCCGGGCACTGCTAGACGTGCATGATGCTCTCTCCAGAGCCTCAACACAGATCATGATGTCTTTCAGTTCATCACCCTATGTAGGATCCACAAGGATAACCGACGATATGTGGAAGGCCTCTTGTCAGCAGAACTCGGCAAGCTGGATGAGGCCGTATCTGACACAGTGGATCACATCAGGACTGCTGTCATGTCATCCTTGGGGGATGACTCATCATGGGGTACTGCTCACACTCTGCTGCCATCACCCAATATCCACAAGGTCACTCGGTCCGTCGTAAACTACGTTAAGGCATTACACCCTGCAAATTATGCACATCATCATCGAGAGGGAGATATGATTTTTCTTACTAGCCTCATCATGGAGATGGTCGCTTCTCTAGAACGGAAGCTTACCAAAGTATCACAGACAATCTCAGACCAGAGCATCAGGTTTCTATTCTTGATCAACAACACCAACTTTATAGGGCAGCAGCTCCACCAGGACCTCACTCACAAAATCGACAATTACATAGAGAGTTATCTCCAAGTGTCGTGGGCACCAGTGTTGAAGTGTCTGAATAATCCCACATTTCATTGTGGCTTCACCAGAAGCTCACCAATACCGAAGTTCCAGTCCAAGTTTCAGACGATCTATACTGCCAAAAGCTCTGGAAAGTCCCGGACCCTGAGCTGAGGAAAAGGCTGCGTGAAGCTATCGTTGGGATAGTCGTTTCAGGCTTTATGGAATACTTGGAGGACAACAATAGGATCACCCCAGGAGTCCCTCCTCAGGAGCTGCAGGAACTATTCGAAGGATGAACAGAACAAGTGCACCATAGAAGACGAGTTGCTAACTACTTCTGTTTTGATGCATCTTTGATGTTCTGTTTTGGGTTTGGAATAAAATGATGTTGCTTGGAAATTTAATCATGTTTGTACCCTCAATAGGTGATATTAATATATGTACTAGATATTGAATTTGTAGTCTACATAACACGGGTCAATTTGATAATGAGATAAAGTAGTCATTTATCTATGCAAATAAGTGGTTGAACCAGGATATTCCTAAATCATGCACTGTAAAACATTCAGACATGTATATTCTGCATTCAGCCAAACAACAGGGTTCCAACAGAATAGTACTGTACCGAACAGACTGGTTCTAGAAGAAAACAAGACCAAGAACATGCCAAGTGCTAGAATCAAGTTCTGAACAGTGAGATAAGATTGGCATGTTGCAATCAGTAATCAATTTTAGCACCTTGTAGCATTATTACTGGAACCAGCAAGAAATGAGGCTACTGGTTCAAGGCAAAATTTGGAACTAACTTAACATCACATGACCAGAAAGCATATAAAAATAATAATCTGAGGAATTCGCTGAGAATACTCGCCTTAGGAACAAACAAACCTGGAAAGCTGTTTGTGCCGCCGTGGTCTCGCCGAACAAGGAAGACGGACACACAGTGCCCCTGGGGGCTTGGGCACGACGTAGCAGACTAGACACCAACACCATCATGATGTGGAATTGCCCCTCAGATTCAGGCATGCAGCTGCTAAGACCTCACTTTCAGGAATTGATGAAGCAGACTCCTTTTTTCCATGAGATGTGCAGGGCTGGAAGGCAGCTGGCAATCTCGCCCCCTCCGGATCGCAGCAGAACCTGGTGTTACCTGTAAAAATCAGTACCTTACTCTGGCTTCTGAAGCTGCGTGTGCGACGAAAAGCTGATGCATTTTATGTTTCATTGGATTATCTTGATACTTTGTGCTCTTATTCAATAATAGACCTGGAACATAGAGCTGTCCGTATCTTTTGTCTTGAGACAGCATCAGTCCTATTCATTGTCTTCTGTTTCTTCTAAGTAAATGCAACTGGATTGTCATAAGCCCTATCCATATTTTCACAGGCGACAGGTCAACCGGGTGCTATTAATTGTAAGCAGTAACATTTTACTTGCTCAAAGTCAGTAGATGCTTTTTACAATCAACTACTATACAGGTATGCAAAAACATCTTTGGCTACATCATTGTGGTTCCTACAAGCCGGGCTCTCCATTTCCCTTTGTGATTGGTCTCGCACAAATCACTCAAAAGCATATACACCGCGACGAGCTAGGTAGCCGCACGCCTTGTGATATCTCAAGCGACAAACAACTCGGCCTGGCCGTCAATGAACAAGCTCATGAACTCCTCCCCGTCCACGGTCTCCTTCTCGATCAGGAGTTGGGCGAGCTTGTGGAGGATGTCGATGTGCGTGGTGATGATCTGTGTTGCTCTAGAGTAGGCCTTCTCCACCAGTTCCCTCACCTCAGCGTCCACGACATCCGTGGTTGCCATCGAGTAGTCCTGGCTTGACATCTGTGAAAAAAAAGTGAACATTTGTCAGATTACTCTTCAAACTGGTGCTAGAAAATGTGAACATTTGTCAGACTACTATTCAGACAGGCTAAAAGAGTTGGCCAGGGAAATTCTGAGAAGAAAAGGCTAATGTAGATGAGATATTTCCATGTTAGGCAGGGCAACCAGGTTCGCAGCAGCCACACAAAATGAGACACGTGCCTGTTCACACCGTTGCTACAAACCGATGATGACAGAATTGGCAGTATACAAGTTGCGTGTTATGCAAACACTTTAGATGACCGGGAGCCAGGTTGTAGTGCTCATCAAGGTAAGTGGGAACTACTGAACATGTAGAAAATGACATTCCCTAGATGCTGGTGGAGATTTCTGGGCACCAACCACCAAGCAAATGGAGACAACCATTGTTGAAGTTTACATGCCAAGTTCTTCAGATGATTTCTATATGTTCTTAATTCCAGGCTAACATAATTATCCTTGCAGGCCCATTTCAGTTACAGTGTCATACCTGTTGCCCCAAGAAAGGGTTTCCACCAGGCCCCCCAATCGCAACTTGGCCGATCTTCTTACTGAATCCAAATCTTTCGACCATTTGTCTTGCGACACGTGACACCTGAATAAAGTCGTTGGAAGCTCCTGTTGTCACATTTTCCTGGCCAAAGATCACCTCTTCAGCAACCCTGCAAACCATGAGATTAGCTCACAGTCCATCACTATGCGCAATAGAAACAGTTAATGGTGCAGGAACGAACAAAACTTTCACGAAAGAGCACCTGCCACCAAGGGCTACAGCCATTTGGTTCTCAAGAATCAAGATAGCTCCTGCTGTACAATCCAGATTCTAGCCTTTCTTCACTTGGAGCAAAGAATGTGAGTCCCGCACAGGCAAGCTGACCGCCGCTCGACATCACGCTCTGGCTCTCGCTCCCTCTGTTCGCCCCTCCCCTTCGCATCTGTTGGGGCCACCGCAGCGCCGAAGCCGCCGCCGCCGGAGCTGCGTCGCACTGACCCGCGACGTCGCTTCGGCCCTCGCTGCGAGCCACAGCCGTCGGAGCCGTGCCTCCTCTCGCCCAGCTGCCGGAGCCGAACGCCACCAGGACCGCCGCCCTGCGCCTGCCCTTGCTCCGTCGCCCAGCCAAGCCTCCTCCTCATCCTTGCTCTCCCTGTCCGCCGTACTCTGCTCTCCCGCTCTCTCCATCCCGGCATGCTCAGCCTCGGCCCGCACCGCGTCGGGCCACGGAGCTTCCCACGCCAGAGTCGAACACAGCGGGAGCCGAACTCCTCACCGCCCGTCGAAGAAGCTGCCGGAGCCGCGCTCGCCTCTGCCCACCGCCGCCGCCCTACTCTGCTCGCTCTCTTCTGCTCTCTCGCTCGCTCGTTTGCGACCGCACGGAAAGGGTATGGGTGGACCAGGGTGGCGCCCACGCGACGGCATCCAAAGCCGAGCACCCGTCCACGTCACCCAGGCCAATGAGCCGGTGACACTTCATCTCGCGGGACCCACACGGAAGTGCCTCCACCTCTTCCATCTGTGGACGCAGTTCGCATGAACCAAGAGTGGGAGCGCGTGGTCCATAGCATAGTGCAATAGCTGGTTCACGAAATAGTGCAGCAGGCCGAACCCACCAGCCCTGGCCGACGCGTCATCCTCTAGATCAGAAGGTAAAACGCTAGGTGCACCCGGCAAATACACACGGGAAGCTTAGTAAGCCCTTTTCCCTTTCCAGAAAAATCCCAGGAAATTCCTAAAAATACTAGAGCCACTATAGAGCCTACCTAAACCTTTACCATGCCTTCTCCATCACACTAAATTCTAGAAATAATTTCCAAGTTTCCTTCCCAAACACCTTTTCCCGTAAATCTTTGGAAATCCATATCTCCTCCATCCCAAATTCAAATCCCATGAAACCCTACATAACCGTATCCTTTCATAATTTTTGGTGCCCCTTTTAAATTCTAGTTTGTTTTGTTTCTATTTACTTTTATTTGTGTTTCCTAGATAGTGCTAGCCCGTCGTTAAACCCAACCCTTCGATAGCACCAGATATTTGTGTATGCCTGCACTATGATACGTGCATGAATACCCGAATATACACACATATAATAATAGGTAGCACACATGCATATGCACGTGGTGGGTATACATACATACGTACAAAGAGTCATACCTATGCATGGCTAACCTCACACCCACCTTTCCATCCTAATTAACCCCAGGCATATACATATGCATACACGTATGTGCCGCTAACCTTAGCCACCACCCACATTAACCTAACCCTACACCTTGCTTAGCCTACCCCCTTTGCATGTGTATATGGCTGCATATGCACGTACCTAACTACCTAAGCACCTTTCATGTATATGGATGCGTATACATGAACCCACCTAGATAACCCCGCCAAACACCCTTTGTGGATTTATAGAAGTCAGTCAAGTCATCTACTTGGTCAGACTTTCTTTTCAGGTTCACATAATAGTGAAAGATAATAATGTGGTTTGGTTTTCGCCAGATAACCTCACCACTTTAACCAAACCCGTAGGAGCCACACCTTGTTGAATGGATTTCTCTCCATTCAACCTTCCTTTAAAATGATATAGTAATGATAGTCTTAGATTTAAATCCACTAACCGATTAGGACGAACCCATCTAGGACCATTTTCTTTCTAAGTTTGTTTGATTATGCCTGTTTTGCTTGCTTGGTGTCTTCCTGGCTTGTCAACGCTAGACAGTGTAGGATAGAAGACGTGAAGAGAATCTGATGGAACCCGGAAGCACAATTACACGAAGACATAGGAGCAAGAAGCACATGAATCGGGGTCTTGGAATAAGGATACAATCGCCAGCGAGCGGAGGCAAGTCCTAACACCCCCTACTTTTCCCTCCATATATTATGCCACATCTATCCTAACTCCCCCTTTCCACCACCACCATGTTTTACCATTTCCACTACAAAACCTACCACTCTTCGTTTTTCTACCAAATAACTAATAAACTTAATTTGTATTATTCGTACCACCCTCTTTATGTGTTTATGAGAATGAATGTTATATGATATGAGCTATTGTGATATGATATGAGCATTTATGATATGTTATGAGCTCTTGTGATATGTTATGAGCATTTGTGATATAATATGAGCCTTTATGGTATTTTATGAGCTTTTAAGTTATGGGTGAGCTTAAGAACATGAACCGTGTTAATATGGAATATAATCTAGTGAACTCAAACTTGTTTTCAACGGGAGCGAGTGGGGGTAATTCATGTGGCATGAATTACCTTGGAAGGATCACCTAGTGAGGGTTCCTGTAGGAGATATTTGCTTCGGTCATATAAGGACCGGTTCATTTGCCATCTCGCTTAGCCAGAATTTCGTATAGCCACATGTATGTATGGGCAGACTTGGTCTAAAACTCCGTTAGGTAGAAGTACAACTACTACTAGGAGGCCAGAGTGGCAACGGATTATCAAGAGAGGATATGGTTGCTGGGTGATCTTTTGTGGTCTGGTCGACATGGTTGTTGTGTGGTCTTCTATGTAAAATTATTATTGTGCCGTGTGCGAGCACTGTTTATTGAAATTGGATGTTGTGTGATCATCCATTGAAATTTGATGATGTGTGATCATCCATTGAAATTGGATGTTGTGTGATCATCCAAACTTTGTGTGTTTTTTGGGCCCCTGAGTAGACCGTGGTAGTGTTGTATGGATACCTAAGGTCATTCCATCTGAATACGAGATCTCGTTAGGCCTGTCTAAGCCATGACGATAGTGTCGGACTGTGCCTATCATGCGGGAAAATGTGTACAACCTCTGCAAAGTGTATTGAATATATTCGAATAGCCACGTCTTGGAATGGGCAACCACTGGGATGAGGTCACATATGATTAGACGCTTTTATGTGTAATGAAACTGTGCTAATATGGTAAGTTATAACCTATAAACCTCGGGAATTGGCAAGAAGGGTTAATACTCGCCTAGGGCCCAAACTCCATTTTTACATATAACTTCAGCCCTTCCATATACACCATTGCCACCATAACCCACCTCTACATACACCCTTCACCATCCACCTCACCTAACCCCAAAGTTAGGGCTTGTTGAGTACTTTATGTACTCAATCCACTCTATTCGATGTTTTTAGGAGTGAGGCTACAGGAGCACGCACAACGATGGAGCTATCACAATCTATGCAAGCGGTGGGACTATAGGAGTACACATGAGGATGAAGTCGTGTGACTACGCAAGGACTACAAGGATTAAGATACAAGTGATGTAGACTAGGCCCGATCTTCCAAAAGGTATGATAGCGTCGATTGGTGGAGACTCGACGTTCACGATCTAGGCTTCAAACCAAGACTGATTCGGACCCCGCAACCGTTACACCACTGCTCCGTTGGTTATAAACCACGCGAACGCGATTGACCTCGCCGAGAAGACTTTCCTGCAAGCGAATCGAGAACACAAGCAAGAACGAGATGAACACAATCTAAAATTGCAAATAAATATGAGGCTTATGAAAATAAGGAGTTCATGTCTTTATTCGAAAGGAATAATCGCCACAGGCGAACAAGATCAAGAACTGGGGCCCTGGTTCACAGCAAGCATCATTGGCGGCACAGTTGCAGCAAAACGATATCTGTTTCACGAGGAAATTAAGAACTAAACAAAACTCAAACCCTAACGGAGGGGTGGTGGCTGTTTATGAAGACTCTAGGGTCATGTAAGACCCCTGGACGCGCCCCTAATGGGCCCAAACACGATACATGGTCCAACGGACCAAAAGACGGTGTCGCAGCACCCTAGCAGATTCTGAACGCTGACTTATGACCACGATTCCCGTTGATTCCGAATAGCTTTTGGCGTGAGACCACTTGGATTGGCTTCCTTATCAAATTAGCATTCCATCCATATGTGGATCGTCGAAAACGGAGTCCGGATGCGTCCTGGGTGACCAGTTTAAGGCAGACTGGTCCTGAAACCCGAGATGAGCTCCAACTTCAGTTGGACTGGGCCTCCACCATGAAAAAGATGAATTGGACGCCCATGCTGGACCTCCTCCTCTCATTGACTTGTATGCGACGAAGTAGTGATGTCCTCATCAACAAGGATGCGCTTAAGGATGGGGTTTACGTCCGCACTCCAAGTTGCTTGTAGGAATAGAACCACGACGTTGTAGGACCGCTGTGTTAGAACTCTGATGTTTGTTGTAAGGCCAATGGCCTAAGCCTTGTAAATATAAACTTTGTAAATGTGTTTTTCCCCGTTATCAATAAAAATATGGTTTTGATATCAATCTTGTTCAATCTCTGCATATTAGCTACTGATCCAGAGACTGATATGTGATGCACAGTGGACCCTAAAGTAGGGGCCTGGACACACTGCTACAGAACGGAACATCAGAACCAGTTCAAAATCCCCGTCACTGCCGGTTTTTTGAACCGGCACAACCAAAGCGGACCGACAGTGATGTGGTTTTTAGAAACCCAAAAAATGAGTTGAAAGAGTAGGAATTTTTTTTAATACTAGGAGAGAACCTGATCGTTAGCCACAAGTCACATGATTTTTAATTTTCTAGATCGTCGCCTTTTACCACCTGGCTGAAGGCTCTGACTTCTATGGAGCATTTTGTATGATCTCAGCATCTTGTACAGGTAAACAAATAGAGAAGTGAGGAGCTCAGCATGTAGGAACCATTGATGTAACCAAATATGTTGTTACATGCTTGTCTAGTTTGTCACTGTAAAAGGCATCAACTGACATTTGAACAACGCTGCTACAGAACGGAACATAGGGACTCAAACGTAATTTTTGTTAGATAAATGATTTCAAATGAAAAAATTGTCAACTACAAAGTTGCATAACTTTTTGAGATCTACATCTTTTGTTCAGGTCGCTTCACCATCCGAGATCCTTAACTATCACTACACACTCACTTATGACTATAGAGCATATGGATTTCTTGGGTTTTAAATTTCCATAAAATCTTGCAAGTCAAATAGAGAGACATCAAAATGACTTCAAATAAAAAAGTTGAGAATTACTAAGCTGCATAACTTTTGGAGATCTACAACTTTTGTTTTGATCACTTCTCCATTCGAGATCCTTAACTACAACTACACACTCACTTGTGACTATAGAGCATAGGGACTCCTTTGGTATTAGCTCTATAAAATCTTGTGATGTATGTTTGGACATCCAAATGATCTCAAATAAAAAAAGTTTTAACTACAAAGTTGGAGATCGTCGATTGCTATAACATTGGTATAAAGTTTGTCTTATCAGACATCATATGAGAAAGCTATGAAGTTTTTCGTACAGCATATCACTGCCGGTTCAAGCCACGAACCGTAGTGATAGTATCAATGTCGGTTTTAGCCAAAACCGACAAGTGATGACCTAATATCACTGGCGGTTCATGGCTAAAATCGGCAGTGATATGAACCGCGGTGATAACCCCAATATCACTGTCTGTGGGTCCTATCACTGCTGGTTTTAGCCACAAACAGGGAGAGCGATGGGCCGGCAGGCACTATGACTGCAAGGTTTTTAAGAAACCGGCAGTGAAGGTCATTTCTGTCGTAGTACAAGTAACACGCTACTGCGTACTGTTAGCACAACTTACTGATCTGCCTCGTATGAAAACCAATCAAATTATACTAAAGCTACTTAAGTACAACATATAACGTGATGTGTAACTGCACGAGTATGTTGCTATTGCAGAGCGACGACGCCATACTTTGTGTCTTCTGTTATTCAGATTTGGACAGTGCCAAACATGTGCCTCTCTGCTACTGCAGGGGTTCTGCTTCTGGGCTATCGGCGTCTATTGTGGAACCAATGCAATAGCCGATGCGTTCATATCTAGTGCCACAGATCTAATATAGCTTCAAAAATCCCAAGACAAAACTTTCTCAGTTAATGCACACGAGTTCATTTGGAGAAATGACAGTTGAGAGTGAACAATTCAAGAGGCTGTGATTTGAAAAAGAGCATATAAATATATATACCACTGATGCTGGTACTACCCTACAAGGCACACGGTAGAGGTAAGCTCTCTGCCGTTCCATGGTTATTTAAAAAATGTGAGAATATATATATAAAGTGAAATAAATTTTGATAATCCTTCAGCTTTTGGTTTTGCTTCACATATAGCTTCAGAAGCCAAGTTATTTCATTGAAAACAAACACAGATGGAACCTACTACGCTGAATTCCTTGGATTGGTGTTTGGTGGTGCATGCACTCTGTTCATCATCCTTCAAACAGCTCTTGCAACATCTCTTCCAGGTTCTGGGGAGTGGAGTTTGCGGTGGTAACATTGTTATTCTCTATATATTTTGTATATCCTGAGATGATTTTCTCGGTTACAGCTTTGCGCAGTCTTTTTCTCATCTCAGGATCTGGGACCTTCCACAGCTTTTGAGTGGTGTACGTCTTTTGAAACTCAGACTCAAACTTGGGTAGCAGGGAGTAGGTTTTCCCGAAGCAACGAGGTGTAGGATTAAGCAAGCATGACAACACTGGTGCCCAAGATACATGTAGATAGCTCTCCTTGTAGCCCTCGACTTTCTCAAGGAGGGAAGAAACATGGAATTGGAGGAAAGCAAACCCAGTGGTGCTGTTATGGAGACTATGACATATGAAGTTTGAATTGTTGATCAAGAATAAGAACCTAAGGCCTTGATCTAGAAATGATTCTGACATGTCAAGAAGTCTGTCTTCTAAATAAGACGTCATCTCCATGACCATGCTATCCAAAGGTGGTATGTACATAATCCGATTCCGAGGCACATACTTACCAAGGATAACAGCTTCAGTTACAATTGGATCCAGCGGCAAGTAATTATCCAGCAAGAAGGTGATATGGGCCATTGCTGACAAGGTGAGCTTGTGAATGTCCGATGATCCCTGAGGAATTTGAGTACCCAGTGAGTCCACCGTCGATTCCATGATACAAGTCCTGATCTCCTCCAATGTGCTCCTTATGCTCTCTCGCGCCTTGGCATTCTTTGCATACAAGAGGTTTACCATCCCAACTCGTATCCTTTCAACTTCTACAGAGGGCGTCGAAATGAATAACACCTCAATCTCGGATAAGGCATTGGACATTGCACCGCGTACACACAGCAAAACATGGATCTTCTGGTGTAGTGCCGGCACCCCAATAGGATCTAGAGCAACTAGGAAGTCAACAAAAGCAAGCATTTTCAGCATGGTTTCTTGGATGAACCGTGCAAACTGAAGTACTTCCGGAATAGAACCCTCAGCTTCGGATTCTTCGTCCTCGTAAATACTGGGCAGGCCCACGGAACCACGACCCGGCAAGAGTGATGCCATGGAGCGGATGGTCTCCGTGATTTCGGCCAGAGCCAGGATCCAGCTCCTTGCATCAGAAGTATGCTCCAGCTTCCCAGAAGATGCACCGTCAGCGACGTGACGAACCCAGCTCCAGCTGACACCCTGCTCCGTGAACCACCCCTCTAAGACACTCGTGTCCCCGCCTTCAGGACACGGCGCATCGAAGAATTCATGGGCTAGGCTTTTAGTGCTCTCCTCAACGGTTTCTTCATGGATACCGAAGAAGACGAATTGCATGGCCGCCGCCTCCATAGAGACAGGGGAGGACAGGGGAGAGGCAGTTGAGAGTCTTGAGACTATGGTACCTGATGACGAGCTCCAGCTGCTACAGGTTGGGACTAGGGATCCGGTCTGCTCGTGGTGGTAGCTCCAGCTCCAAGAAGGCCCGTGGCTGCCATCCCAGCCAGTTGCCGCCATGCTAAGCTAAGCTAGCTACCTACCCAAACCCAACCCCTAGCAATAATGGCGATCGATGTTAAGCCGATGTCCGGTTGACCGACTCTACCAGGTTTGGTGAAGAAGTGAGGTCGCGTATATAAGGGTCTGTTTGGCACGGCTGTGGCTCGTGAAAAAATAGCTCGGGCTCTGGCTCCTATGGAAAAACAACTTTTTCTGGCTCTGGCTTATTTTGTACGAAAACGTTTGGTAAAACGGTTTCTCCTAGCTTTTTAGAATATAAAGAAGATATCAAATGTCCAAAATATCTTTATATTTTTTCTCTATTTTCTTTTTCTTTTTTCTCTTCATTTTCCTTTTCTTTTTCTTTCACTTTTTATTTATCTTTCCTTCTCCCCTTCTTTTCTTTTCCCCTCCTCTCTCCTTATCCAATCGGCCTCTCCCTCCCGGCCTTATCCTGGCGGGGCGCGGCGCAGCGGAGCAGGAGGCTGGCCGCGGGGGAGGAACCAGGGACGGAGGCGCGCGGGGAGGAGCAGGAGGCCGGCGGCGGGGGAGGAGGAGGCCGGCGGCGCAGGGAGGCGGCCGTTGGCACGCGGGCGCTGGGGAGGAGAGCAGGCCCAGGGACAAGGATGGAAAAGCAACGCGCAGGTGAGGAAGAAGCCGGGGGAAGCCACATTTTTTGGCTTGCCCTCCCCTGTGTAAGCCACCGAACGGCTTCTCTCCAGCTTCTAGGCGCAAGCCGTTTTGCAGAGTGCCGTTTGGCACGGCTTCATCAAAAGCCGCTCGAGAAGCCGCTAGATGAGCCGTGCCAAAGAGGGCCTAAGAATCGCATATATATCTTTAGGAAGGCTTTAATACTCACGCAGCCGCTCTCACAGAAATGATTTTAATATACGGTTATAAAATTGATTTTTAGAAATAAATTTGTATATACGGTAGTGCTGCTATCTATCGGCACCTTCGGCGTGCCGTGTATGAGCATGTTTCCCCTGCACAGTAGTGGGGGTGTCGCGTGGCAGCTCAGCCCCAACGAAGATGATTAGGGTCCTATTTGGTTCAGCTTATCGGAGTCTCGCTTATAAGCTGAGTAGGATTATTTGATAAGCCACAGTACGTAGAATCTAAGCGGGACGTTCGGCTATCTCGATTATTTTGGATAGAACTTTTTGTACTGGGACCCCTAGACATTTCCCAAATCTACCCACAGCAGACTAGCACTGTTTTACACTATTTATCTGAGTCTATACTTTTGCATTTGGACCCAAGAAAGAGTTTCTATTTCTTTTTCCCTCCCTTCTCTTGTTGGTCCGAGCAGAGGACGACGGGGCGGCCGATTCCGGCCGGGCGGAGGCGGGGCCGGCGATGCTAGGGCACAGGGACGCGTCCTGGAGCCTTGCTGGCGGCCGGCTGCCAGCGGGAAGGGCTGCAGCTCCGATGTCCTGGCCGTCCTAGAGGTCCTGGACGTCGTCGAGGTCGGAGATCTAACGTCTTGGAGCCTTCTGGAGATCAGGCGCCGGGAAATCTCGAGAGGAGCGGTTGGGGTGGGAGCCAGCGCCGGGAAATCTCGACAGGAGCGGTTGGGGTGGGAGCCGGCGGTGGGGAGGGGAGCAGTGGGGGAGGCCACCGGCGGGAGGCCAGATACGGCAGGGACCTGCCCGTCGGCGGTGGATCTGGCCCACGGGATGGAGCAGCCGGGCCAGAGGGGGGCGCTGAGGTGGAGGGAGGCTACGAGAGGGAGAACAGGAGGCCTGAGGGGCAGGCAGGGAATGCGAGTCCGCATTTCCTGTATTGCGGGCCTGAACTCGTGTTTCCAACCACGTTGCAGGCGAGCTCAGAACGCGGACGCGTGGTCGCGAGGCGTTTGGCGGGCTTTTCTCGCTTATTGGGCTGAAACGCACTGCGACCGCAGAACCAAACACCCTGTTTTTTTATCGTTTCTGTGGCTTATAAGCTGGCTGATGCTGTTTTATTGTGAGAGAAAAACACTGTATCATAGCTGATAAGCATGGCTGATACAATCAAACGAACAGGGTCAAACAAGGCCTAGTACTAAATTGGATTTATGGATGGGATTTGGATGTTCCACGAGTGAACTGGATAGGATATGGATTTTCTTTGTTTTAAAACTGATTGGACTGGATGTGAATTTTCATAATTGTATATTTTCCTTGAATTTCTTTAGTTTGGATGTCACAAGCCTAAGTGCGGGCCCCAAGACGAAATAGACCGGTCTTGGAGGGGGGCCTAGGCCGGCCATGCCCTGGCTGACCGCGCCACCAGGAGAGGCGCGACCAGAGGAGGGGCGGCCTTCCGCCACACCGCCAACATCCATATCTCGAAGAATCTAGAATACAGGAAAGAAATAGGAAGAATACAAATATGATCAGTTTAGGAAATAATATTCGATGGGATTTGACAGAGAAGTACAAATCTATAAGGACTTTCTCCCTTTAGTTTACTTGAGATACAAGTCCATTTGGGACTATAAATATAGAGACATTGTAACCATTCCAATCTAAGAAGAAATAGCTTCAGCCTTTCTCTATCTCCTCTGTACTGCGCCTCCCTCTCCCTATCTAGCGCCACCGCCTCCCCTCCTCCAGCAGCGCCGCCCCCTCCCTAGCTGGACGCCGCTGCCACCACCGGCCGCCCTCTGCCCTAGCCGCCACCCCCTCCTCGGGTTGGATTGTGACACTGGTATCTCGGAGACCAGATCGATCCATGGTTTCCACCAACACCTCCACCAAACTGCAACAGCTGCTCAAGGCCTTCGCCAATGACCTTCGCAAAATTTTTGATGAGGTACACCAGCAGCTCATCAACATCAACACCCGCTTGCACGCTGTCAAGCAAGCACGTACCAGAAGGGACGCCGTCAACAGCCTCGAAGCGAAGACCAGGCGTGTCATGATCACCGCTGGCCGAGCCTTCCTCAACAATAAGATGGAGGAACCTCACTCATCCAGCACCCCGGAGATCGTGTGGGAGGTGTCGAACAACTTGTTGGCCACACAGCCAACACAGCAGGTGCCCATAGCCCCATCACTACGACGCCCCATCCTAGTAGCGACACCAACACAACTTCCACACCAGCAACTCTTCAAGGTCCGACTAACACCCCCCACGTACAACGGCTCGTCAGATCCACTGCCGTGGCTCTCCCAGATGGAGCTTCTCTTCAGGCTGCACTAGGTGCTTGACGACCAAAAAATTCTGTATGCGGCTTTTCATCTAACAGGTGCAGTGCAACTCTGGTTCATCCGATCAACAAAGGATGCACCAATGACCGATTGTTCACCCAAAGCATTAGCAACGACTTCGGGCCACCAATCTGCCACGACACATTCGACGAGTTCGCTCCCCCAAGGCAAGGCAACATCAACAATTACACCAACAATGACGATGACCACAACCACGTGGCATAGCAGGAAGGGGACGCCCCAACAATAAGGATGGAACGCGAGCCGGAACCACAAACTCCCATGGCGATTCCTACACACTCCGTCGCTCCACCAATGGCGCTTCCCCCACACATTGATGACAACACCAGAGCACCCCCTCAACTCGACGTCCTCACCACCGAGCCGGCCATCCTTCCACAACTCCGCCAGGCCGTTCGGGACGAGCCCGAGCTACAGTTCATTGCCTCCACCATCAATGTCAAGGCGGCTGCACCCGCCTGGTCGCTCAAGCAAGGCGTCATCCTCTTCAACGAGCGCTACTACATTTTGGCGGCATCCCCTTGCTACCAAACCTGTTGGAAACACTGGGAACAACAACTCCGCAACTTCTTGCAGTTGGCCTCCACACAGCAGCATCCGCTCCAGCAACCCACGCATTCCCCACAAGCATCCTATTGATAAAAGACTGGCCACATCGCATACTGCCATCAGCAACGGTGGTCTTCTTTGACAGCAAGGGACAGCAATTCCTCACCACTGAGGACATCTATATCAACAAGCAACACGCTTCTAGCCACCCACTTATCTCTCCATCCGACTACGACACGGGCGACCTCCTCTTTGGCACCCTGGAACACTTGGCAACCATGCCCATGCCCATGCCCCCCGTCAAGGGTCCCAACAGCATTAATTATGTCGACACATCACAGGACAAGTCGCTACCAAATAGGTATACAATTTTCCATGATCCCAAGGGTCATGCAGGTACTACACCTCACGGCCACCCTACCAGGCACCACCCTCTCTATAGCACAAGTTCATGGACCGACAACAGGCTCAAGAACATTCAACTACTACATCTTCGGCTACATTGGCTCTTGCCAATACTGCTTCGAGTTCTCTCCCAACAACACCGATCAGATGAAAAACACTCTAGGGCACCTCCTCATTCATTTAGAAGAGATACCTTGGGGTAGCAACCTCCCTGTCAACGGCATCAACGATTGGACAATGATTCAGCGCGAGGACGCGCTATCTGGAGAAGGGGGGAGATGTCACGGGCCTAAGTATGGGCCCTCGAGACGAGATAGACGGGCCTAGGAGGGGGGCCCAGGCCGGTCATGCCCTGGCCAACCACGCCACCAGGAGAGGGACGACCAGAGGAGGGGCGGCCTTCAGCCACGCCGCCAACATCCATATCCTAGAGAATCTAGAATAATGGAAAGAAACAGGGAGAATAGAAATAGGATTAGTTTAGGAAATAAGATTAGATGGGATTTGATAGAGAAGTCCAAATCTATCTCCTCTCTCCTACGCCTCCCTCTCTCTATCCAGCGCCGCTGCCTCCCCTCTAGCCGTGCTGCCCCTGCCCTAGCTGGACACCACCACCACCACCACCGGCCGCCCTCTGCCCTAGCCGCCACCCCCTCCCCCGGGTTGGATTGTGACACTGGATTTGGATTTGCACCATTACCGGGTATAATTCTAGGCATCGGTAAGATTTTTGTTGTTCAAAATCCATCTAATATAGTAAAAAGATTTTTTCCTTGGGTTTGAATTTCAATTGCTATCAGGTTTTGAAAAACAAATATCAACACAGTGTATCATGTATATCATCTT